ATGTTGTCCCGTGATGTCGCATGTTGATGTCGCATGTTGTCCTGTGATGTCGCATGTTGATGTCGCATGTTGTCCTGTGATGTCGCATGTTGATGGATGTCGCATGTTGTCCTGTTGATGTCGCATGTTGTCCTGTGATGTCGCATGTTGTCATGTGATGTCGCATGTTGTCCTGTGATGTCGCATGTTGATGTCGCATGTTGGACCGTGATGTCGCATGTTGGACCGTGATGTCGCATGTTGTCCTGTGATGTCGCATGTTGATGTCGCATGTTGGACCGTGATGTCGCATGTTGTCCTGTGATGTCGCATGTTGATGTCGCATGTTGTCCTGTGATGTCGCATGTTGATGTCGCATGTTGATGTCGCATGTTGATGTCGCATGTTGGACCGTGATGTCGCATGTTGGACCGTGATGTTGCATGTTGTCCTGTGATGTCGCATGTTGATGTCGCATGTTGATGTCGCATGTTGATGTCGCATGTTGGACCGTGATGTCGCATGTTGGACCGTGATGTCGCATGTTGATGTCGCATGTTGATGTCGCATGTTGATGTCGCTGTTGGATGATGTCGCATGTTGACCGTGATGTCGATGTTGATGTCGCTGTTGTCCCGTGATGTTGCATGTTGATGTCGCATGTTGATGTCGCATGTTGGATCCGTGATGTCGCATGTTGGACCGTGATGTCGCATGTTGTCCTGTGATGTCGCATGTTGATGTCGCATGTTGACCGTGATGTCGCATGTTGGACCGTGATGTCGCATGTTGTCCCGTGATGTTGCATGTTGATGTCGCATGTTGATGTCGCATGTTGGACCGTGATGTCGCATGTTGGACCGTGATGTCGCATGTTGTCTGTGATGTCGCATGTTGATGTCGCATGTTGTCCTGTGATGTCGCATGTTGATGTCGCATGTTGATGTCCGCATGTTGGACCGTGATGTCGCATGTTTGACCGTGATGTCGCATGTTGATGTCGCATGTTGTCCTGTGATGTCGGCATGTTGATGTCGCATGTTGTCCTGTGATGTCGCATGTTGATGTCGCATGTTGATGTCGCATGTTGATGTCGCATGTTGTCCTGTGATGTCGCATGTTGATGTCGCATGTTGATGTCGCATGTTGTCCTGTGATGTCGCATGTTGATGTCGCATGTTGGACCGTGATGTCGCATGTTGACCCGTGATGTCGCATGTTGATGTCGCATGTTGTCCCGTGATGTTGCATGTTGATGTCGCATGTTGATGTCGCATGTTGGACCGTGATGTCGCATGTTGGACCGTGATGTCGCATGTTGTCCTGTGATGTCGCATGTTGATGTCGCATGTTGGACCGTGATGTCGCATGTTGGACCGTGATGTCGCATGTTGTCCCGTGATGTTGCATGTTGATGTCGCATGTTGATGTCGCATGTTGGACCGTGATGTCGCATGTTGGACCGTGATGTCGCATGTTGTCCTGTGATGTCGCATGTTGATGTCGCATGTTGTCCTGTGATGTCGCATGTTGATGTCGCATGTTGATGTCGCATGTTGGACCGTGATGTCGCATGTTGGACCGTGATGTCGCATGTTGATGTCGCATGTTGTCCTGTGATGTCGCATGTTGATGTCGCATGTTGTCCTGTGATGTCGCATGTTGATGTCGCATGTTGATGTCGCATGTTGATGTCGCATGTTGCCTGTGATGTCGCATGTTGATGTCGCATGTTGATGTCGCATGTTGTCTGTGATGTCGCATGTTGATGTCGCATGTTGGACCGTGATGTCGCATGTTGATGTCGCATGTTGTCCTGTGATGTCGCATGTTGATGTCGCATGTTGATGTCGCATGTTGACCTGTGATGTCGCATGTTGTCCCGTGATGTCGCATGTTGACCTGTGATGTCGCATGTTGATGTCGCATGTTGTCCTGTGATGTCGCATGTTGACCCGTGATGTCGCATGTTGATGTCGCATGTTGATATCGCATGTTGTCCCGTGATGTCGCATGTTGACCCGTGATGTCGCATGTTGACCTGTGATGTCGCATGTTGACCCGTGATGTCGCATGTTGATGTCGCATGTTGATGTCGCATGTTGACCCGTGATGTCGCATGTTGACCTGTGATGTTGCATGTTGTCCCGTGATGACGCATGTTGATGTCGCATGTTGATGTCGCATGTTGATGTCGCATGTTGACGTCGCATGTTGTCATGTGATGTCGCATGTTGACCCGTGATGTCGCATATTGATGTCGCATATTGATGTCGCATGTTGACGTCGCATGTTGTCATGTGATGTCGCATGTTGACCTGTGATGTCGCATGTTGATGTCGCATGTTGATGTCGCATGTTGTCATGTGATGTTGCATGTTGACCTGTGATGTCGCATGTTGATGTCGCATGTTGTCATGTGATGTCGCATGTTGACCTGTGATGTCGCATGTTGGTTCGTGATGTCGCATGTTGTCATGTGATGTCGCATGTTGACCTGTGATGTCGCATGTTGACCCGTGATGTCGCATGTTGACCTGTGATGTCGCATGTTGACCCGTGATGTCGCATGTTGATGTCGCATGTTGATGTCGCATGTTGACCTGTGATGTCGCATGTTGACCCGTGATGTCGCATGTTGATGTCGCATGTTGATGTCGCATGTTGACCCGTGATGTCGCATGTTGTCCCGTGATGTCGCATGTTGACCGTGATGTCGCATGTTGATGTCGCATGTTGTCCTGTGATGTCGCATGTTGTCCTGTGATGTCGCATGTTTGACCCGTGATGTCGCATGTTGACCGTGATGTCGCATGTTGATGTCGCATGTTGACCCGTGATGTCGCATGTTGATGTCGCATGTTGTCCTGTGATGTCGCATGTTGATGTCGCATGTTGTCCTGTGATGTCGCATGTTGTCCTGTGATGTCGCATGTTGTCCTGTGATGTCGCATGTTGTCCTGTGATGTCGCATGTTGTCGTGTGATGTCGCATGTTGATGTCGCATGTTGTCCTGTGATGTCGCATGTTGATGTCGCATGTTGTCCTGTGATGTCGCATGTTGTCCTGTGATGTCGCATGTTGTCCTGTGATGTCGCATGTTGTCCTGTGATGTCGCATGTTGTCCTGTGATGTCGCATTGATGTCGCATGTTGTCCTGTGATGTCGCATGTTGATGTCGCATGTTGATGTCGCATGTTGACCCGTGATGTCGCATGTTGTCCTGTGATGTCGCATGTTGATGTCGCATGTTGTCCTGTGATGTCGCATGTTGACCCGTGATGTCGCATGTTGTCCTGTGATGTCGCATGTTGATGTCGCATGTTGTCCTGTGATGTCGCATGTTGATGTCGCATGTTGTCCTGTGATGTCGCATGTTGACCCGTGATGTCGCATGTTGTCCTGTGATGTCGCATGTTGATGTCGCATGTTGTCTGTGATGTCGCATGTTGATGTCGCATGTTGTCCTGTGATGTCGCATGTTGTCCTGTGATGTCGCATGTTGATGTCGCATGTTGACCCGTGATGTCGCATGTTGTCCTGTGATGTCGCATGTTGATGTCGCATGTTGACCCGTGATGTCGCATGTTGACCCGTGATGTCGCATGTTGACCTGTGATGTCGCATGTTGATGTCGCATGTTGACCCGTGATGTCGCATGTTGTCCTGTGATGTCGCATGTTGATGTCGCATGTTGTCCTGTGATGTCGCATGTTGACCTGTGATGTCGCATGTTGTCCTGTGATGTCACGTGTTGTCCTGTGATGTCACATGTTGACCTGTGATGTTGCATGTTGTCCTGTGATGTCGCATGTTGTCCTGTGATGTCGCATGTTGTCCTGTGATGTCGCATGTTGATGTCGCATGTTGTCCCGTGATGTCGCATGTGATGTCGCATGTTGATGTCGCATGTTGACCTGTGATGTCGCATGTTGTCCTGTGATGTTGCATGTTGATGTCGCATGTTGTCTGTGATGTCGCATGTTGACCCGTGATGTCGCATGTTGTCCTGTGATGTCGCATGTTGACCCGTGATGTCGCATGTTGTCCTGTGATGTCGCATGTTGATGTCGCATGTTTCCTGTGATGTCGCATGTTGATGTCGCATGTTGTCCTGTGATGTCGCATGTTGTCCTGTGATGTCGCATGTTGATGTCGCATGTTGACCCGTGATGTCGCATTGTCCTGTGATGTCGCATGTTGATGTCGCATGTTGACCCGTGATGTCGCATGTTGTCCTGTGATGTCGCATGTTGATGTCGCATGTTGTCCTGTGATGTCGCATGTTGACCTGTGATGTCGCATGTTGTCCTGTGATGTCACGTGTTGTCCTGTGATGTCACATGTTGACCTGTGATGTCGCATGTTGATGTCACGTGTTGTCCTGTGATGTCACATGTTGTCCTGTGATGTCACATGTTGTCCTGTGTTGTCCTGTATGTCACATGTTGACCTGTGGATGTCGCATGTTGATGTCACGTGTTGTCCTGTGATGTCACATGTTGTCTGTGATGTCACATGTTGTCCTGTGATGTCATCATACCAGGGGACCCACACGGGGAATGCTGAGGGCTTCAAGATCAGCACGCTGCTTCAAACTGACCGAACCAAAGCCAACAAGTCCAGAATCACTCTGCTTCACACATCCTGCAGGTAGCACACCATACTGGAAACACTGGTTTATACTGGAAGCACTGGTTATACTGAGTATACTGGTATACTGAGTATACTGGTTAATCTGGAAACACTTTACGCTGCTGTCTCGACTCATTTGTGAAAGAGATTTTTGTATTACAATGAGATTATTGTGGTAAATAGTGAAGGTTAATGAATGAATAAATATTGGTTGTACTGGTTATACTGGTTACACTGACGGTTTATATTGGTGTTGATCCATCTCTGTCCCTGCGTTAGTGCAGTATGTTATGAAACATGTGCTGCTCTCTTGTGACGCTTAGGAGGTGGAGCAGAGCTATCCCGACCTGTTGAACCTACCTGATGACCTGGAGATGGGTGCAAAGGCTGCTGGGTAAAAAAAACAACCTGTTTTATATTAGATTATAAAAACATTTGTTAATTTGTTGGTGAATATTCGATGTGTGTGTCTGCAGGTTGAATCTGGAGTCACTTCAGTGTGAAAGCAGCGCTCTGATCAAGCAGCTGAAAAACTCTGAGCAGAGACTCTCCTGTTCCTCTGAGGACCTGAAGGAGCAGTACCTGACCCCCATACAGGTGCTGAGGAGCAGACTCCGCCCCTGCTGGGGCTCACCTGTTCTATAATCTTCTTCTATAAAAAGGTCTGTTTACCTGTCTGTGCCGTCGTCTTCTTCTGTGGTGTTTCAGGAGAGCCTGCAGGCGTTGGAGATGCTGCATCAGCTGTTGTCCTCGTTGGAGGACAAGAAGACACACCTGTCGGTCTACCTGTGTGAGGACAGCAGCAGCTTCTCCATCGAGAACTCTTCAACACCATCAGAACCTTCAGAGGACTGTTCCTCAGGGCCATCCAGGTCAGAAATATCAA